TTCGTACACTGCAAGTTGCATTTTTGGATTTAGCGGGAAGTATAAGCCCAGGTATGTGAAAAAGACTTTGTTCGAAATTTTGTTCGGACACTGCCTTTAAGGGCGCAGTAGGATTTTAGAACTTATAACTCATTTTTGAGATAGCTTAGGCGAAACGCAATGCTAACCTCGCCCTTCAATCAAAAGTAGGAAATTAGACATAAAGTCAAGTAGGCTAAAAATAATCAGTGGTAATGATAACAATAATAATATTCCTTACCTTACTACAGATATTCAGTTGTTGGCAATACAAAGTGATTCGCGATAAGTAAGCGAAGAGATCTGCCTTGGTATTCGAGTCCACACTTTCATCTCCAATTTGTTTCGCCAAAGCATTCAGCTATAAATTCCACTTTGTGTTATGACAATAAAACAGAAGATATAAGATTTCCATTCATCGTCACAGGCTAACCTTTGATCCATCAACTGAAATTTCTTGCGCGGCTCGAATCACGTCCATGGTCGTCTTCAATGGACCATGGCCCCTGTAATACAGATTGACTATAATGACGATTTTAACGCCAAATCTGAATAAAAATGAATGTAAACGAATACCTAGTAAAATCAGTCATATCCGTCATAATCATGCACATATGTTTTGCTAATACAATGATGTCGTTACCACTCTCATCCCACTTGGCTACCTCTCTTTCGAATTTGGTTTGAGTGATCTGTAAACATCAAATACTATGTATATGGCAGAAATATACGACAAAATGAACCGAATCCATCTAAATGGACTTATTCCCTACCTTGAACACATCAATCTGCTCCTGAATTCTCTTCTTGTCTTCTTCAGGCAAACGACGCATAATTCGCTGTTGATTTTCTCCTTCTGATATCTATAAAATACCCATAAGTAAAAATGGAAAACATAACTTTGCCAAATGATCACTTACCCTGCTCGTGTTGTCGGGTGCATTCGTTTGTCCATCATCTTCATACTCGTTGTCTGAGTCGACATCTTCGGGATGTCGATTAACCAACAAGGCATTTCGGATCTCCTTTACTGCATCGTGCACCAAAGTGCAAGCGTTAATGAACTCATCCGAGTCACGATCTCTACAAATGCTCAGCAGTAACGAGTTACACAGACATAGGCGAATGTAAGAGCTTTTTTTTTCAAAAAAGTCAATAATAAA